CGCCTTAGCCCCCGCTATAGATTGCCGAACATACTCCATTGGGTACACTCTCCCAAACCCCTTTATTATATCGTGTGTTGATCAGAGCATAGATATCAAAATGGATCCATTCTCATCGCTACCCTCCACCCGACGTTCTCCATTTTACATACCATGTCTACCGCTCGAGGCCCATCGCCGATTATACAACTGGCTTGGCATGCCTCGTCATCGAAGCAGAAATCGGACATGCTGGCTACCCTGTCGTCGGATGGTGATTTGCGTGTTTGGAGCGTCGCAAAGCCACCTGGAAAGGAAGCCCCTCGGGTTATCAGAGTCCTCAAACGATCAGATGTTTCTTCCTCCTCAAAACCCAAGTGGATGGCGTGGTCAAAGAACGGAAAGATAATCCAATATCTAGATGGGTGGGTTGATCGCCCAGTGTTGGCTTGCTTGGAAGCTAATCAGATGATCATAGGGAGACATGGGCCTGGGATGTGAAAACCAAGCACGTCACCTACGAACCTATACCGACGGTAGAGAGCCCTCGTGGCTTAGCGAGCTACGGCCCGACTGCTACTCTTTTCACCCTCGGACCCCAATACACCGTGCAGCAGTACGACGTGGATAGCCCGGCTATGGTGGCAAACGTGCAGCACGTTCCACCGGGTGCTATGCCTGCCCCATTGGACGAAGCTAGAGCCCGCGCCATGCCTCCACGCTCCTTGCAGGATCCTCCCGATATGAGGGAATCAGGCTCGATGTTCCCGGCGCAAGCGCATTTCGATCCGAGCGGGATTGACGTCGTGCGGCAGCAACGAGCGGAAATGGGGAGCCCAGTACCATCCCGAAGTCACGCAAACTCCGTCAGTTCCAAGGCTTCATCGGACAAGTATCGAACAGGCACATTTTCTCCACCGAGCAGATCTGGCCGGACTGGGACGTCTTTCTCGTTAACATCGGCCAGTGAGCGGGATACACCCCAGCCGTCTAATGCTTCTTACGCATACGCCCCTTCCGTGTCGATGTCGTCGGTGAAGAGCTCGCGTGCGGGATCGCGGTTGAAAAACGAAGTTCAGTTTAGTCCTGCGGATAACAGGCCTGCCGACCTTTTCCCCTTCACCCGTGCACGCCTGAACGAGGTACCTTACGGGAACAAACGCCTCCTAGACGAAGCGCATCTGAACCCCGATGATTTGCGCCGTCAGATGCTCAGTGTTGTCTTCGGTTGGGATGGGGATATCGGAGATTTGATCCAGGATGAGCTTAGCCGCCATCGTCCAGGCAGCCACAGCGCCGTTTTGTTGGCTCAATGGATTGGCCAGTCTGATGCAGATTACATGGTATCGACGATGGGCCCAGGTCCTGCCTCTGTCGTCGATTGGATGCTCTTAGCGTTCAGCCAGATGAATGGAGAATCCCAGGCCAACAAAGTGGGGCAGGCATTCGTTCAGAAGCTGCTCGAGGCGGGGGATGTACATACAGCAGCCACGATACTGCTGGGTATCGGCGATAAGATCGATGCCATCGAGGTCTACGTGTCGCAAAACTATTTCATGGAGGCGATTCTGATGACGTGCCTGGTGACGCCGACCGACTGGCAGAGGCAATCCTATCTTGTTCGGCGGTGGGGTGAGCATGTCGTCTCGCACTCCCAGCAACAGTTGGCAATACGCTGTTTCATGTGCACCGGCATCGAGTCTTCCGACCCATGGTCCCCACCAGCAGCGCAGCAGGTCACGTCCTTTGCGGAGGCGATCTCAGGAAGATCCCCGACGACATCCCCTGAACCCCAATATCAAAACCCGGCGCCACTTCTTGCACCAAGCTCACAGCCGCAGCCTGTAGAGAACAGTCGCCCGTTAAAAACACCGGCATTGAAGTTGATTACGTCCTTCGATTCTCAACCTGGCAAAAAGTTCCGCTTCCCGGGATTGAAGTCAGACGATCGAACGCCTACGAACGCGCCTGGAGTTACGCCCATTGCGGAATCTGCTGTTGTTGATTCAGCACTATCGCCCGGAGGATTCGGATCTTACAAACTCAATAATGCTCAGAGTATCAATAATGCAATGGGGTCTCGCACAGGCACACCAGGCTTTAACCGACGACGTTTACCATCAATTGGCGAAACACCGGTGGACGTTCACCCTCCGTCATTCCCACCTAGAGGTGTGAACAAATCGGTCGACTATGGTTCAACTTCCGAAAACGAGGAGCTCACCAATTCGAGCCAACAAGACAATGAAAGCGAAGATCAACGTGGCCTTCTCTCTGCTACAAGATATGATCCTGAATATGCGTTCAAGCCCAGCCCCCAGACTGCGGTTCAGGCCACTGCAGATCGATTTGCTACCATCAAAGGGCTCCCATCCCCCGCCCCAGGCGTCTTCGAGGCGCTACAGGAACAGTCAAACAGCCACAATGGGTCTCGAGATCGAAAACCCGATGGACTTTCGCTTCGGCTGAGCCAGGGAGAGCCCTCGCAGTCTGAGATGCTCGATCAAAGTGACTTTAGGAGCCCGGCATCGACCCTGAACAGTTACAACTCTGCTCGAAGTCCGAGTGTTAGCGGCCGCAGTATAGACCCCTACATCAGCAGCTTGGACGAGGCAAGCTATCGCGCAAAAAAACACCATCGTCAGAATGGCCGTAGTCGACGAAACACTGATGATTCTGCCGCAACTCACAAACACCACACGCGAAATACATCACAGGAGACTCGCGGTAGAGACGACAAACGATACGTCCAACCTGCCAAGCGGTCTCCGTCTTCCCCCGTCCCAATGTCCTCAGAGGAGATCATGCACTATAGCGTCACGGCACAAAACCAAGACGAACCCCGTAGGGCAAAGCAGTCCTCCAAGACGCGCAGCTCTAGCCGAGTTCGGAAACCACGCTCACGGAACTCCTCTGAGCGCCGGAAAAACCGCTCTTCAAGTCGGGCCCGAAACGTTGCTTCCGGCAGAGGTGATCCGTCGAGCCGGGGCCGCAGCGAAGAGACTCAAGATCTACGGGCTGATTCACCGTCGTCACCAGTGCCCATGTCTAGCACAGATGACAGTTTACGTCTCGTGACAAGCGACAGAGAACGACTACGGACTCATCAGCGGAGCAGTAGTCGTCGTCCGGACAAGGGCGCGAGGAGAGAGCAATCTCCCGATGGACGTCAAACCCACGACCGTTCCCACAGCCATCATGATATCGAGCCGATCCAGATCATACAGGAGCCTCGCGAAAATGCGGATGATAATGAGGGTCCATTGCTGTCGAGTATGACATACGGAGCTCCCTTGCTGTCGAGCAAGTCGTACGAAGCTCCAATGCTATCGGGCAAGTCGTACGAAGCTCCAATGCTATCCGGCAAGTCATACGAAACCCCCAAGGCGGACGACAGACACGTTGAAGTCCCACTACTCTCGGGAAAGGCATATGAACCCCCTTCGGTCGAGGGCTTGATGTATAGCCCGCCTGCCATGTCAACCGAAGAGCGAAACCTACACTCGGCCACTGCACCTGCTATGGGTCTAGCCGAACGCAAAAGAAAGCAACTCGCGGCTGCAGAGCTGGAGGCACGACGTCTATCCCTGGCGCGGAATCCATCAGCCCCCAATATCCCGTTCCCCGGTGAAGCCCAGATTCGGGAACCTCTAGGAAGTCCCCCATTCTCGGTGAATTCTTTTGGTCCGCGCACGCCTGGAAGGCGGAATGTAGCCACGAGCAAAGAATCACCCGAGTATCCCAGCAGCTCAGACTCGAGCTCGTCGCAGTCTGGAGGGCCGACGCGATTACCCACGACCCCCAAGGCCATGCGCCACCCGAGATACAACGGCTACGAAGAGGCCGGCCCACCTGTTTCGGACGGTCTCAATTTGTTGAGTGATGCGCGCTACCAAGAGGATGCAGAAAGAATCGGCCGCTCAATGTCCGTCCCTGTACCCGAGAGCCAGCCAAGTACCAGACCCCTGGACATGCCAATGCACCCTCGATTCAACCCCAACCTCCCAAGAAGTCGCTCGACAAGCCGGAGCCGCAACCTAGGTCACCACCGCGAGAGCAGAGAATACAGTGGTGTAGGCGGGTATAGTTACGGGGGCTCCCCGGTGAGCGTCAGCATCGAAGAGACGATCGAGAACGCCATGCTCCAGAAACGGGGTGAGAATCCTCCGCTCCTGCCAGAGCTCCAACACCTCAACCCGCCACCACCACCCCCTCCCCCGATCCCACCGTCGGGATGTGCTTCGCCTCGAGAGTCTTCCGGCACGATCGACATAGCCATCGACAACGAGAACATGGGCCGGTTGCTTCCCCGCGCGATGACCGCTGCCCCTGCGCTCAGCGTGGAAACGCGTCCTGTCGTCCAGTCCCGTCGGATGTCCCTTGAGCACCGCCGCGGGAAGAGCGCCAACGAGAGCTTTACCTCCAAGATCAGAAACTTGACCCGCATGGGCAGTACTAGTCGACCGTCTGATGTATGGGTGCATCCGGAGACGCGTGTCCCGTATGAAACTGTGGCTATGTCTGATGGTCGCTTCTAATGCAACCATGTTATTAACATGAATGAAGTATCTGCTTATCTTGTCACGACTAACGACTTTCTTTTCTTTGTTTTCTTCCTGTTTCTTTCTTTTTTCTTTTAATTGATTCATGCTCCAGTTTGTTTTCTTGCACGCTGTTGATTGATATACCCTTCTGTCTTCCAATGTGGTAAGATTTCACCAGATCTATGCACCTGCCAGTTGGATTGTTAAGTTTTCTTTTTTCTTTTCTTTTTTTTTTCTTTTTTGTTTTTTCAACAGTCTCTTTCTCCATTCTCGTAACTAAATCGGGCCCGCGAGGGACAGATAATATGATTTTTCGATCCTTATAATATTACAGACCGATCTAGTCATCATAAAGTGTCACTAGGACCTTGTACAAGTTGTTCATTGGAGTTGTGGAACAAGCATGACTAGTTCAACAAACGGAAAAAGATTCATATAACGCTGTATTGACAGCAACTCCTTATGCCCATAAAAAAACAGTAGTTAGATACATACACCCCCAACGAGCAAATCACCAACGTTCCCACCCCTTCCGCTCATTCGGCTCGGTCGAGATATTCCTCTCAGCCTCAAGCAATCGATCGAACTCCTCCCGGGCTTTCTCCCGCTCGCTCAAACTGCCGTTGCCGTCTGCGCCTGCTTTACGTGAATACGGGCTGGGCTTGATATATGCGTCTGTCGGGGAAGTCGAATACTGCGGGTTGGTGGTTCTCGTCCCGTTGTCGGCCCGGATCCGATCCCAGGCGCCTGTCTTGAACGTGCTCCGCGATACCGGTCCGGAGGCGGGGGCACCCCGGTACTCTGCTGCCACCGGGCTGGCGTCGTCGTCATCGTCCAGGAAGGTCTTGCCGCTGTCGCGCGGCGCGCTGACCTCGTCGTCCCTGCTCGTATCCGCGTCGCGCTTCGCATACTCGGCTTTCTTGGCGGAAGATCCCCATCCAGCAGTCTGGGCATCCGAGGAGCCAGATGAAGTCTCCCGAGCGTGATGATCCCGCGAAGAGGACTCCCACGAGCCATGCGCCGTCTCATCCGCCACCGGGCTCGCCTCGTCCCCCTCCGACGGCTGCGGGAGCTGCCCAGCAGCCCTCCTCCTAGCCATGGCAACCTCCTGCTTCATCTTCTGGTTCCCCACGTCCTTGTAATGCTTCTTGAACGACTCGCAAAAGTCCTTCAACCGCGGGTCCGTCGTCGTCGTCACGATCTCCTTGTAGTTCATCAACGACTGCAATACTAACGTCGCCCCGAACCCCCAGAACATCAACCGGATCGTCGACAGCCCCAACGACCTCCCCGCAGAAAACGGCTCCGCCCGCCAGTATTCGCCGAACCCCTGCGCCATGCGGTTCAGGTGGGATAGCACCCGGGACACCGGGGAGCTCTCCGGTGGGCCCTTGCTGTCGCGCACGTAGGGCTCGTACCAGTCGGCGTTCTTCGCGGTCTTGTACGACACGACTGCGCCTCCGATGACGCCAAGTGGCCACCCCACGCGCTTGCCGTAGATGGCCGTGCTGCCGAGCTCGGTCCACGCGTCTACCTCATCTTGTCTCGGTAGGCGCTGGAGGACCACGCGCGAGTCTTCGATCCGCGTCGTGACGTAGGTCGTCAGGGCGTCTTCGAACCGCCCCCGGGTGAGGAAGCAGACTTGCAGGCCTGGGAAGTGCGGGTAGATGACGGAGGAGGCTCTGATTTGGAGTGGCGAGTATCGCCAGTTCGTGGGGGTGAGCGTCCCGTTTGAGTCGGCCATTTCTGGGTCCGGAGTGAGTTGTTTGTGGTCGGATGGAAGGATAGGATTGGCTTTCGGATGGGTGAGCTGGTGTGAAGAACGACGTGAGGAGTGGAGCCTGGGGTAGCTGACTTGTGCGGGTTAGTCAGCTGGCATTATGACCAGTGTATTATTCTCATTCACACACACCATATGTCAGTAGATCTACTTTACTTTCTTGTCTCTCAGTGCCTATATTTTTGTACAAAAGCCTCTGATATTGATACTGTCATATAGCACAACTAATATAACACAGGCACGATTTCACAACCCCGCGAATCCTCTTTGCTGATCACCACTACAATATCCAGCCGTCCACGCATTGGCATCAAACCACCTACAGTGGTAGCTGGACCGCATAAAACAGTAGCACCCTGCTTCTCCAACTTATACAAATTTCCACAACTTCAGTTACAGTCCAGTCCGTCAGATCTGCTCGAAAGAAAGGTTCCGAAGGCGGTAAAAAGTGTCTATGCGGTCAGCTCTATCCAGATTGAGTTATAGACGTGCCACGTACCAGTATCAGGCCCTGGAGTTCCCGACGAGCCTTCCATCTGCAAGTTGATGATCCTATAATTCTATTAGAATAACCCTTGATGAATTTGAAAAGATGATACCCACAAGTGCAATGGCTTTCCGACATACTCCCCCCCGTACTGTGTCGCCATGAGGGTATCGTCGAGGTAGAACTGCACGGAGATATTCGTGCCGTCTACATCTCGGATTTCCGTCTTGACGGTGTGAAAGTCGTCCGGGGAAGCGTATTCGGTGTTGTGCTCTTCGACTTCCGAAGAAGACTGTACCTTGTTAGCGCCATCTATCAAATTGGTCTGAAGGGTAAAACTCACGTTGAAGGTGTTGAAGCTGATATCGCCGGTTCCTACACACCAACTCGTTAATACTGATCAAGCCATATATGAAGGAGACCTACCCTTCCACTCGGCCAAATCAATCTCTGGCGGCCAGCTCTCCGCCCCATTCAGCCAAAACGCAGGCCAAGTGCCCTTGTCAGCGGTCGCCTGAAGCTCAACCGAAATGTCAAACCCGGAGCCTGCCTCCACAGTGAACGTATCCTTGGAGTGCACCGCGCCAGACAGATAGTGGATCTCGTCTCCGCCCTTGGTGGGCGGCTGTCCGCTGGCTGGCTTCGCGACAAGCGTCAAGGTGCCGCTCTCCACGGAGACGTACTCGTGCTCCGTGGAGCTGCCGACCATGCGCGCGGAGCCGTTGTGGTCCTCGCCCCAGGGGTAGAGGTAGTCGAAGTATTCTTCGAGGGCCTCGTTGGAGTCGAAGCAGGATGCGTCGATGAGGGTTTTGGCCGCTTGCGCTAGGGGCAGGAGGCAAAGCGTGTAGGAAAGGAGTTTTGAGTGCATCGTGTCGGTTGGTTGATACTCTTTGGGAGGTAGGCGATGATGCTGACTGGATTGGTAGGATTGTCTGAGGATGTTGGATGCTACTTATACGATCTTGCCTGGTGGTCTAGTGCCTCATATATCCATCTGGCTATGCAACATAATACTCACGACAGCAGCCTGGAATAGTATCATTACTGTCTAAATGCAATCGGTTAATTTCACTGAGACACAGCACATGCAATTGATGAGACCGGCACACGCTCCGAACGGAGGGATCGACACGGATCTTGATCAAGGCGTCATGTTTCGGAGCAACACCCGCCCGTCGACAAAACGGTATCAATCGCTCATCTTTCCAAACCGACACAAGCGTGCAGTACTATACAAAGATATCAGGAATTCAATTGGTCGATAGACTAGAGAACAATTTCCTCATCGGTAGACCCCTGTTTCCAATAAACAACGACTCGACTACCACTTCTCCACATACGGCCTGAGATCAAGCTCGAAGCCAAAGGTCGTGCGGGGTTGCGTATGCAGATGCCAATATGAGTCCGCAATCTAGATAGTAAATAGTGGATCAGTCGTAGTTCCCAACGCCAGCTCCAACTATCATGGTCAAAAAACCTACAGCATCAGGATCCAGCTTGGCATCTTCGTGCTCAAACTGCCAAGCCTTCGTTCGCGGAATGTCAATGACACCGTCGACGATAACATGCGACACATGAACACCTTTGGGCCCGAACTCGCGCGCCAGAGACTGCGCCAGCGCGCGCAGAGCGAATTTCCCCGCCGCGAAGGACGAGAAATTAGCCGACCCTTTCAAGCTGGCGGTCGCGCCCGTGAAGATCAGTGTCGGGGGGTATTGTAAGCCTTTGGCTTGGAGGAGGAGGGGCAACACCCCCTGTGCGAAGTTGAATCCGCCTTTCCTGTTTCAATGTCAGTGACGCAGGTCCCGATATTGTCTTCCCCACAGGGTCTCGGCGGGGGGGTGGAGGGAGGAGAGAGGCTGGGAATGGAACAAACCCCTGGCTTTCGAATCCCTGGGAGAATTCGGTCTCGGTTAATTCAAGAAAAGGCTTGCGTACAAACCCTCCGCCCACGTTGAATACGGCCGCTGCGAGCGAGGAGCCGTGGTACTGTTTGGTGATCTGATCGAGCGCCGAGTGGACGCTTTTCGAATCGGACAGGTCGGTGCGGATGCCCAAGGCTTGGCCGCCGGCGGTGTTGATTTCCTTGACGAGGGGATCGAAGTTGGCTGCATTGCGCGCGAGAAGAATGACGGAATATGCCTGTGCGAAGCGTCTGGCAATGGAGGCGCCCTGTGGTGGTTCATGAGATGAGTTCAATATCGATGTGATGTCGACTTACGGTGCCGGGACCCACACCGGCGATGATAGCCAAGGGTTTCGTCATGTTGTTTGGCGTTGAATTCTGTGTATGCTCGTGGCTGGTCAATTGTTCCCAGACTGATCTATACTGCTATTTATGTCGGTGGATGTCGTGATCCACTCCGGCGATGATGGAGCCTGCTTAGAAATCGGCGCGGAGTCGAAGTACGATGACCTCATTGATTAGGAATGAACTGTATTACTGACTACTGATCTAGACAGCTTACACTCGTGTTCTCGGACTGGACATCTATACTATTTCATGATTTATGAACATGTTAGGGTTGATGATACCCAGATGGTACAAGGTGGTGGCTATCCAAAGCCACGACAACTAGAACACGATATAGTTGCAACACCTGTGATGTTTGATGAGATCGTGTAGTCATTCTCTAATGCGACCAAACTAACACCTTGAATATTTGCGTCTGGCTCACTCTGTTACTCTCAGCAGTCGGGCCTATCTGTAGTGAGAGCCTCTGATGCATGGATGTATATGCCTCAGGCACCTACCTTATCGATAAGCCGACCCAGATTTTCTCTGATTCTCATCGCAAACCACTTCACCTCGATCGACCATCCTAACCATTCTCTCCTACCTCTCTTCCACGGACCCACTACACAATTCAACGAAATGTCCACCGAAGAAGACTCCCTCCTAACAGACCTCTGCACCATCTGGTCCGTCTCCCCTCTCTCCAAAATCGACCCAAACCAGCATCAATCATATCAACTACACCCTCCTATGAAATACACTAACTCAACCTCTGGATTATAAATAACAGTCACATCCACCCCCCCAAATACCGCTGTCCCCGCTGCAGCACCCGAACGTGCTCCCTCCCCTGCTCCAAGCGCCACAAACTCTGGTCGCAATGCTCCGGCGTCCGCGACCCAGCCGCCTACCTGCGCCGCGCCGACCTCGCCACCCCGTCTGCTTTTGATCGCGACTTCAACTTCTTGACTGGTATTGAGCGGGGTTTGGAACGCGCTGAGAGGGATGTTGATCGGAGGGATCTGGCGGCCCCGGCTGTGCCGTCTGGGGTTGATCCTGCTGTTGTGGGGTTGGATGGGGAGGGGGAGGCAGTAGAAGGGGGGGATGCGAAGCGGAGGAGGGTGGGTGATCATGCATTCGGTGGTGGTGGTGGTGGTGGTGGCAGTGGACGGGTAGCACTCGCGAAAGGCGAAGGTGCGTTTTTAAATAATGCGAAGAACGCCGGCGTGGTTGTGATTAGGGCGCCGAAGGGGTTGAGCCGGCGGAGGGAGAATGCTTCGAAGTGGAATACACGGTTCGTCTTGATTATCTGGAGATGTGGACGGACATCGCTAATATGGATATCGACGCAGACATAAATGCCTCAACTGGCTCGTTGAATGGTTCGCCCCGTGCCATCCTACGGAGACGGAAAGGAGGAAACTGCGCCATGTGATGGAGTCGACTGCGCTGGCGGATGCTTATAATCAGGCTTATCCGCTGTCCAAGGAGGAGAGGGATGCACGGGCGGTTCCGACGGATGACGACTCGTCTGTACAGATTCAACACCAGGAGGGGGAGGCAGAGGGGCAGGATGTATCGTCGGAGACAGTGGATGTTCCTGCGCGGGTAGAACCTCATGCTAGTGAACCTACTACTACGCCTGCCCCTACTACTGCTCATACTCCTGCTGTTACTTCTACCCTTGCCGCTACGCCTACAGATATCGATACAGCTACAGCCCCCGCTCCAACGACAGCAGCTCCAGCACCACCAACCCAAAAAACCCCAACAACAAACCGCGAAATCCACCTCTACCTGCACCGTCCCCGCACACCCACCAAACACCCCGTTCTCATCCCGCTGTCTGCAACGTCATCGCTAGCAGCAGCGCTCAAAGATCACACTGTTCTTGAGTTTCCTACTATTTACGCCCTGCCTTATTCGCCTGAGCGTCTGTCTGGGGGTGGGGAGGATGGGGATTCTCTGCCGTTTGTGTTGGAGGAGGTGTTTTTGAGGGAGAATCCTGATTTGCGGCTTCAGCCTGAGGTTGAAGCTGAGGTTGAGAATGGGAGTGGGAGTGGGAGTGGTGAGGGGGGAGAAGACGGGGAAGCCGATCTGGGAAACATCGACGAAGGAACTGTTGTGGAGATGTTGCAGAAGGATTTACTGGTTCCTGCTGATTCTTAGTGATTGGGGGGTTGATTTGTAAATATGCATATATATGGAGTATGTTGTCTAATGATGGATGTGTTGGTCTGTTCTGATCTGTGTACGGTTTGGCTGCGTCTGGTTTGAAATGTCTGGTTTGGACTGCACTGGCTAAGTATAGGGTATAGGTCGAGTGAGAGTATAGATGTAACTACTTGTGAGCGTATCCTCCATGCCATGGCTTAATGGATGGATGGATATACGAATTTACCTTGATCATACCCCTTGCTTACCCTTTGCAACGCTTACCGTGTATCGATGGTCTATCGATGTCTATCGAGGAGAGGGAGGGTAGATCGAGAGGAGTAGTAGGACTAGATCGGACACCGACTAGGAGCGGCTCACGATATCCGAATACGACGATCGATGGAGATTGGAAGACGGTCTGTCTAGGTAGGTTAATATCACTGCTCATTGTTCACTAAATCAAAACCAACACCAGCCCGAACAGAAATCACTAAACGCTAATACAATGCTAAGTACGATGACAAAATCAACAGGGTATCTTATAACTATCCGTGCGCCTTCCGTGCTGTCAAACAGCAATGCTTGTCCGGGCTTGAAATGCGAAGGCTGACCATCTGTCTGCTGGTAGACGCTTGGTCGTTCCTATCGTACATGATAGGATAAGTGGACGATCCGAAGATCGACGAGCTCGTTTGGAGCTCGATTTCGAGGCGATGACCTCCTGCGAACGCTTGTGCGATAGCGGAAGATGGGCATTGGGCCCTCACCGACCTCGTTGTGGGCTTTGTATGTCACAACGGCAGTGTGATATGCACGTCTTGACATGGTAACCAGGTGTCAGACATCTGACAGGCAACCATGAACGTGCATGGCTCATCAGGCGAACCTGAAGAGCGGTAAAATCATGGGTACACCATGACCAGTCGACAGAACTGGCATGGTGACCCAATAATCTGGTCGTGTTCACAACCAGAGCATAAGGCTGCATAAGTAGCCATACGATGACAAAAAGGTCCTTCATCCGACGCCGTATCAGGCAGGTCGTTTGTTCCGTCTTCTGTCCAGAAAATACTGGGGCCACTGCAAGGTGCCATCCTCCTCGAGCACTGGCACCAAGGTGATTGGTGCGCGGGTGGTACGGCCTAGCGTGAAAACAGTATTGAGAAAGTCTGCCCTCGTCCTGCGCCGTCCAGACCACGAGGGTCCGGACGCGCCGTGGACTCGGTGGGCGACATGTTCAACCATGCCGACTGGCTGCGCTTCAATTGAGTCTGTCCCATTCCAAGGCGTGCAGCAACCACTGCACCAAAATACCACATCAGTATTTGGTCAGGCTTGAGGTGACTGATATCCTCCGTTCACCCCGACGCACTTGTCGTCTCGGACGCGGTATCGGGCAGGTCATTCTCTTCCGTCCTCTCCGTGCGGGCCGACGAAGGAGATACGATCTCGGTCGGAACGGTGTTGGGATAGGTCTGCACCTCGTCGTCCTGGGCGCCGTCCAGACCGTGGTCCGGACGCGCCGGCCGGGACTCGGTGGGCGACATATTCATCCGTTCCGACCGGCTGGGCTTCAGTTGGATCCGTCCCCGTTCGAGGGCACGCAGCAATGTGCCGACTTCCTCCGAGACCAGGCCGCGGATCTTGCTCATGGCATCGTCCGACACTTCCGAGTGGGCGTTCCACCCCAGCTTGTCGGATTCCTCCGAGGTCAACGATTTACACTCCAGGGACGGGCCCGTGACCAACCGGTGCAACCGGGTGGGCGACACGTGGTTGGGACGCCGGGGCATCTTGACGGGCTTGTGCTTGGAGCTCGAGTTCGAGGCGGCGTCCTCCTGCTGACGCTTGGGCGGCCGCGAGGGGAGATGGGCATTGGGGCCCTCACCGACCTCGTTGCGGATCTTGTAGTACACTAGACCCAAGGTGGCTGCGAGGGCCTGGTGGGCGGCTTCGGGATACATGCGGACGGCTTCCGCACGCGTCAGGTTGGACGCACAATCGCTCGAATCACTCGAGTCGCTGTCACTGGCGAACATAGGTTCGGTCTGGTGCATTCGACCCCAGAATTGATACCCTTCGAGCTGGTAAAAGTCGGCCAACTGGACCAAGCGATCGACTATTGATGTTAGACAGGCCGGAAGGAGCATCCACCAAGTGACTTACGACGACTGCGTTTCTTGAGACACCAGAACCGCCAGACGGTCCGGGGGAAATACTGAGGCCACTGCAAGGTGCCATCCTCTTCGACGACGGGCACCGACGTGATGGGGGCGTGGGTGGTATGAGCTAAAGAGTTGAACCGGACGCGTTCCGAGTGCCTCATGCGAGACTCGATCAGGGAAAACCGGTCAAAAACGGAATTCAAGTGGCGGGAGGTCTCATGCTGCAGGGTGATGAGGTCGGTCCGCAGTTGGCTGACGGTGGCGTGCAGCTTGCTGACCTCGACGCGAGAGGCGCAGACGTCGGACTGCAAATGCTCGAGGTCGGACAGGATCTGGTCGACATTCTTGGAGAGGCGGTCGACATCGCTACGCAGGAAGACGATTTCGTTGCCGGACTGGCCGACCGAGGATTTGAGCTGGAAGACGCCGGCTTTCAGTAGATCGACATCGGTACGCAGGGCCACCACATTCAAGTCGATGCGGGTGGAGTTGGAGCGGTGGGCCTCGAATTCACGACGGACGTGCGAGTCCTCGCGGTTCCGTCGCTCGACGTAGCCGTCTTTGGTGAGGACGGCGGAGCGAAGTTCGAGCACGCGGGAGTCGAGGAGGGTGAGACGGTCGTGGAGATGGCTGATGGCGGGGTCGGAGAGGGCGATGGTCGGGGGGGTAGTTTCATGAGGGAGCGAGAGTCGAGGCGAGGACATGGGGATGGACATGCTCGACGTCCGCGAGAGACTTCGTTCGAGGGTGGTGGTCATGGTGATCTTTGGAGAGTGGTGGGGGATCCAATCGCATAACGGGGACTAGACGAGTTCAACACAATGGGGGCTCCATTTTGGCGATAATTTGGTGATGAATGATGTAAATGGGGAAGGTTTGGAGATGGTTGTAGTATGGTTGGGGGTTGGCAGTTGATGGTTGTAAAGTGAGGTGGAAGAGGGAGAGAGAGAGAAAGAAAGGGAGAAAAGAGAAAAGGTGGGAAGAGCGAGACGACCCACTTCTGGCTGGTGGTCAGACGGACGACGGACTAGGTCGGTGGTGGGTTTGTTGTTCCCCTCCCTTGTGCACCCAACCCCTTTTCACGCCTCCATCCAGCGATATTATAATGAGGAAAATTGCACAAAATAGATAAAACTCTGAAGATATCGTTTATTGCTTTTGAATAATAATCAAAAGAATCATCATGAAGAATATCAGGATCTCTCCAGAGGGAAAATAAATGATGGTATCGAGTATCTGAATACATGACCGGACCGTAATATATACACCACCATACCTGCAGCTAGCAGCTTGGCGCCACGGGGCATCCTTGCTGACCCCTATTAAGCCAATCCGGTCATTACCTCTGCCACCCAGTAGGGCCGGATTGGCGCCCTAAAATAGCCGTGGCGTCACCGAGTGCGGCCTTGCTGACGGTTTTCCATACCAGACGGTAATCAATGGGTTTTGAAACCTGGATCCGATACGGCCCAACTGGAACCTCAGGCATCTCTCCTTCCAGCGAAGACTCCACTATAGAACGATGGAGTATTCCTGGTAGATAATCAGGTCCAATTTGAGTGTGGTCCCTGGTCTTTCCAAATAATAATAATAATAATAAATAATAAATAATAAATAGTAAATAATAAATATGATAAAATAAGCACGGCCATATATAAGGGTCTCCTATCTACCCACCGACATCCGTTCGGTCGCGGTGGGCCCGACAAACGATCGGTGGTCCGGAAATCGTTCTGGGGGGGCCCACTTATAGATCGTTCATCCAGACGACTCCATACCATGGTCACCCTCTTCACCATCCACAGTAACTAATTATGCCCTGAATCAGATAAATCAAATTCCGAACCCAAGATCAATCCGATGGAGCGGATTCTTTGTCCTTCGAGTCGAAAGTATATCCCCGCAATGCGAGATCCTGGAGGTGGTCGGAGGGTTTGTATACCATCTCCATCATCCAGTCCTGGAAGCCCTTTGGCGTCGGAGGATAATTCGCGGTTGTAGTTGGTTCTGAACTACAGAGCCAAGTCAGATCGGTACATTCAACCAAAGCAAAAATTAGATGCGTACTGCTACTGCAAAAGAGTGAAGACAAGCTGTTCGCACATCGATCCCAGCAAGACTCTCATGCGGTGCATCTAATGTCATGGATGCCGGAGCACGATGACAAGCACCGACAGAATACGTCCCAGATTCGGTCTGGATGGATAGTCCGTCGATCCCGCTCCAGCCGTCAATGCCGTGAATTCTGACGGCGTGGAGGTCTCGATCAAATGACACGGCTTCAACGGGAATTCAACTAAATAGATTCACTAATTCCCTCTCCTGTTCAGGGTAGGACTGCGCGTAACACTCCTCAGTAAAGATCTGGTGGCTCTATAGTAATCTAGTACTGTCTTTTATCAGAAGAGTCTCTGTAAATGAAGGGGCGGTCTCATGGTCCCAGCTCAGGTCTCGAAATTTTAATGCCTAGCATCTGTTAAGTATCTCCATATTAAATACAGGAGAGTATACTTACATCACAAATAATCTAAATCTTTTGATACGTCTCTCTTAGGCTGAGCCCCTGCCAACTGTGAGTGATGGAAGGATAACCAAGCCACAGTGAACTGCTATACTTGATACTCTGAACACCCAGAGTATTTACTGCTATCTTGATCTTGTCTGTCAGACTAGAAATATTTGCTGTCTGGACATGTTTAATCCTGTGGCCGCAGAATATGCTTGATTCCATTAAAACAAAACTAATCCCACAAATGTAATATTTGTTATTTAGTATAATATTGCAAGCTTTGCTCTTCTCAGTATAATCTAGAATATCCATGAAACTCTTATACAAACTAAACAAATGGCTGACTGCCTGGAGAGGAGCCTGTGAATCAAGTGTAAGGATTAACAGGAGTTATTTACCCAGTAAAGGGACCAATCTGTGATATCCTATTTGATTCGGCTGCAAAAGCGAATCGGTGTTTTCTGGCGGATGAAGGAATTTTAGAGGTCTTATCGTTTCACAAGGGCCTAGGCAAACTGAAAAAGCATTATCTTGATGATCTGTTCTCAATCCACGAACTCATATAAGAAATCAAGAAAATGATAAAGCTCCTACTCGAAGGGTTTGTTGTCATATCATGTCCAAACGCCCTCTCTCGGTCCGGCTGAAGGGCCTGGCAAAGATTGAATGTCTGATGAGGCCCAATATAAGACCCAAAAACTCCGTTAACAGACCACGACACGATATATGGATCAGAAAGACCTCAGTCGAGTTCGCCGACTATGTTCTGTGAGACTTCTCGATTCTTGCGCGAAGAGGTTTTTATCATAACGGAGACAGCCCATGTCAATAATGCTGTCTTGTAGAAGAACTGTTGCAGTTAGACAATGCCAGAAGGATATCGGGGCAGAATTGCACCTGTCTGGAAGTCCAACGTCCAGGCCGCCCAGGATACCCCGCTAAGACAAATCATACACTGGCGTGAAGCGTTCATCATACCCGTAGAATGGTTGACTCGATTGATGGACGCGTTGAGAGGATTATTGATGGATGATATTACGGAGTGCGCTCGCTGTCTAATATTTGCCAAGATTGTACAACAGATCCATGACGAATTTTCTAAATGCATGTCTCGCTACCTTGGCCTTTCAATGAGTATACATCTACAGAAATATAGTATACAGATTCTATAACTACAGATACCTACAGTGTATCAACATTTTGGTAGACTAGTATCAATGACCTTTGAAATGCACTCATACACTAGTAGAACAACAGCCAGAAAGTATAAAAAGTATACGAATGCGCCTTCCATCTCATCCTGACGTCGTCACTACAGCATACTGATCCTATCTCTCAACCTCTTCCAATCTTCCAACTCATCCAAATCTCTATCCACTCACCGTCGTTACGAATACAGCACATCAATATCATATCGACTAGTATCAATCAAATCAAACAAAACAACCACCAGAAACACACAATGAAGCCGCACCTCTCCGTCCTCCTCCCCTTAACCCTAATTCTCCCTCTATCAACCAGCTCTCCTCTCGCGCAACACCCACCTCCACCTCCACCATGCACCTGCTACAGCCTCACCTCAGCAGACACCCCCTTCATCTTCACCCACAATGAGATCTGGGACTTTCGCGCGCAGCCCCTCCCCCAACCACAAGACCAACAACAACAACAACAACAACAACCCACCCTCCTCTCCCAAACCCCCCTCGTCTCCTCCTGGCGTCCCCAAACCTGGCACCGCCCCCCATCAGGCCGCGCCATCTCCCCCATGCACAACGAAGACGCCAACGTCTTCCTGACCCCCCACCCAGACGCCCCCGCCCCAGCAACAACCCTCATGCTCCGCGCCACCCGCCACGCAGACCACACCTCCACAGCGGAGATCGAGTCCACCATCGACTCCATCAAGCACTGCTCGCTGCGTGTGCGGATGCGTCTCGTCAATCTGTCCCCCACGCCTGGACCTGTTCCACCGGGCGTCTGCGCCGGCCTCTTCATCTATAACTCCGCTACCTCAGAATCCGACATCGAGATCCTCACCCACGACCCCCTGACCATGGCCCACTACGCTAATCAACCTGACTATGACCCCGTCACGGACGCCATCATTCCCGGCTCGATGGTCATCGTCCCTGACTTGCCTCGGCCGTGGACGGAGTGGTCTACCCACAGGCTGGACTGGGTCCCGGGCGAATCAGCCTGGTATGCGGATGGGAAGCTCGTCGCGAGGCTGGCCTACGGCGTTATGCAGACTGAGGGACGACCTATCTTGAATCTTTGGAGTGATGGGGGTGGCTGGACGGGTGATATGCCTGTGGGAAGTAGTGTCGGGATGGCGATTGAGTGGGTGCAGTTGGCGTATAATTTGACTACGGATGCTGTGGGACAGTGCGAGACTGTTTGTGATGTGGAGCAGATGGGGGTTTGATTTTATTTTCTTGTTGGTTTGCTTTTACTGGTGTTTTCCTGTGTTTACTTGGTTTATTGGTTATTATTGACACTGTCTACCACTCGCTCGTCTAATGGTACCTAGGATATGCCTAGAGTATACGTAATATCAACAAAGGCAGTCAAATAATGTACTCCATAACCGATGCATCATCTAACCATGTAATGCTGTAATGCTGCTGTGTATGCTATGCTCGCTTGCTGTTCGCTGTCATGCATGCCAGGTTCATCTGGCGGGTATCACTCAAGACATCAATATCAACCGGAAAAACAGAAGACAACAGAACGCCGCCCGCTATTCCTGTGCTTGCCTGTCACTCTGGCGTTGATGATATCAACGCCGGGACGAGGCTGAAAATAAAACAGTAAAAGGAAAAACAAAAACCACCCGAAAGAAATTTCAAACAATGAAAACAGAAAAAAGAAAAAAGAAAGAAAAAACAAAAAACAAAAAAACTACATCAACACCTCCCCCTCAAGGAGAGGGTCAAACTCCCCCTCGAACCCCCCATTCATCAGCTCCGCCACTATCTTCCGGCGCAACAGGGGGGTGTCTGTTGCGCCGTAAGACAGTGGCTCCAGCCCCACCGCCACGGCCTTGGCCGTCGACAGGAGGAACACCCCGCAGTCGCTGCCGTTGTCCTGCTGGGGCGACCGCGACGGCAGGACACGCCACTCGGACTGCACGAACGAGTCCCCCAACTCGCCTCGGAGCCAGGTCTGCACGGTCGCGACGTGCCGTGCAGACAGGGCCCCGAGGGAGTCGAAGTGCTCGATCGTGTGGTCCGAGGGCTTGACCAAGATCAGTGTCCAGTGGTGCTGGTGGTGGACAGGTACGAAGACCGTGTCCACCTCCAGCAGCGACTGGCCGCCGATCTTGGCCCGCGTGGCCCACCGCCGCACCGACGCGTATCCCTTCTCTCGAAGGTTCGAGAAGAAGAAGGAATTGAACGCGTGGAAACGGGGCTTGTCGTGCCGCCCTGCGTTGTTGTGCGTCCGTCGGAGATAGTCGACGATCAGCCCCAGGTATGCGTTGATGACTTCGTCGTTCAGCCACTCCATGGGTGTGAAGCATGTTGCCAGGTCTTTCTTGGTGAGCGGGTCTCCCGATAGCGTGGTGGCAATCTTGCGGCTAGCTGGCCCCGACATGGCTTCCTGCACGCGCGTGTTCCATTTGGCGGAGAGGGGGCGCACAGCAGGTCCCTCTGGGCGAATGCGCCGGGGACGCTGCTTGCGTCGCTCCTCCTCCTCCATCTGTTTCCATTCATCGGCGTAGATGGAATCGGTGCGGCCGGGGGGCAGTGGCTTGGGAGTGGGGTAGAACAGACTGACGGCGGAGACGGCGCGTCCGAGGGGGAACTCGACCGGCGTGTCCCATGGGTCGTGGATAGGCTCTTCTTCCTCTTCTGCCTGCACTTCGACCGATTTTTGCTGGATTTGTACCGGTTCGATAGATGGTTCCACGGGGGGAACATTTTCTTTCCCTTCTTCGGAGATCGTCTCGCGGTCCTCCTTTCCAGGGGCCCTGCGATTCTCCTTGTCAGGCAGGTTGGTAGTGGGTGAGCAGTGCAGGTACGGAGCAAGGTCGGGGATGAGGATCGACTCGTGGCCGACTTCGGTCGAGAGTGGGCTGGCAAAATGGACCTTTTTCGGTTTGGACTTTGCATCGGCGGTTTCGGCGGACTGGCGGCGGGAGCTGTCGAACTGATGGCGTGGGAGGTTCTGCAATGGTTCAGGGTTCTCTGGCTGAGACGGACGTTCACTCTTGATACCAAGGATCTCATTGGCATCGTACTTGCCGGTGCGAATCTGCTCCTGCAGGATTCTCACCCGACGGGCCTGTTCACGGACCTCTGGACGATGTCGCACGGAGCGTCCCATGTCAGGGGTCACACCGGGGGCCCTGTTGGACCTCGCTCGGGGACTCACTCTGACTCCTTTGTTGATGCTGGAACGCATGGTCTGGCGGAGAATATCCTGCCCGGGGGAGCGATTGGCAATACGGCTCTGTCGAGAGGCATTTGTTGAGGTTCTGAGGGCGGACTTGCGGGGTGGTGGAAGGTTGGCGGATGACGGTGCCGCGCGAGCAGGAGATGGAGACGCTCCATAGCGTGGAACGTCCAGAGTCAACGAGGGGAAGGGGAGTTCCTGCGGGGCTGCGCGTCCGCGGTCAATGTGCCACTGGCGATCGAGGATTCGTCGTCGCTGCTCTTCTGGGAGTGCACGAATGGTGGTACGGTTGGGGGAGGCCGCGCGGATGGGACGCCGTCTCAAACGGTGATACGCGTCTTGCGCATAGGCGCCGGCATACTCAAGATACGCATAGGCAGTGCGCGCCGTGTTCCCCATTACTTTGAACAGTTCGTGGTTGAGGGTGCGCAGTTGATCTACGTAGCCCTGCAAGGCCCCCAAGGGGCCGCCGCCCATGGGGTTTGCGGGTGCATTATCGGCGTCGGGATGGTGCATGTTGACGTCGGCTTCGGCTCCCATATGAATGTCTGGAGTAGGCGCGGGGAGTGCACCGGACATGAGGGGCTCAAATGCCTCCTCGGGGCCAGTGCGCGCGGCTTCTGGGAAGTAACCGGGAATGTGGTATTCAGGAGCGGCGAGGGTCTGGGCGGCATGGGTCGGAATGGCAGAGGAATGGATAGTAGTAGCCTGCATAGCAGTAGCCTGCGCAGTGCCGGCGGCGATAGGCTGGGTGTGCGCCGCACGGACGGCGAGATCGCCCTGGCTGGGTTCGGTGGTGGCGGCAGCCTCAACTTGGCTCTCGTTCGCGGTGGCCGACAGCGGGAACGCGTCCAGACCCACACGACGATATTTGGTAACCGACGGGGGCGTAGGCGGGGTCGACTGGGACGGATCGACGAGTTTGGGATCTTCGGTGGCCTCCGGGTCCATGGATCTCTTGCGGGGAGTGACGGACGCAGCCGACGTGGTCGACTCGAAACTATGGGTCTGATCGCTGAAGGGGTTGCTCAACAGGCTATTGAAAGACGAGTCACGCGTGGTGGGCTCAGCAGCTTCGGTGGCCGCTCCAGGCAAGGCCTGGAAGTTGTGCAGATGGAGACCATTGTTGACAAGTCCGACGCCGGTCGCGCGGTTCTGGGCGAGTGAGGTCGGCTTGCTGTTATTGGCGAATGGATTGGCGCTGGTGTTGGACGGCAAGTGGTAGTTGCTGGGAAGCGAGTCCAGGTTGAAACTACTAAAATTCCATCTGCGAGGGGCGGTGTTGGCGAAGGAGCCCGCTTTCTTAGACTTGAGCATTGTCGCTGGGATCGAAGAAGCGGCCTTGATGCGAGCCGACCTGGGCGAAAAGCGCTGCGAGGGTTTGACGAACGTGGACCGAGTCGTAGGAGGCATCGGCTTGCCATCGACGCGAACGCACAGCGGGCCTGGTCCTCCAGACTTGTTCTTATTGCGCGGGCCGTAGGACGCGAGGGAATAAAGAGGCGCGTTGGAGGGAGGGGAGTGAAGGCGGAGGGCGGATGCGGAGGATCGAGACAGTCCGGGAGCGACGATGGGACTGATGTCCATGGGATCACCTGGCTGATTCTGCGGTCCCTGAGACGCGTCGGGAGAATAGTCTTGCAAGGAAATGTCCATGGCTTCGTCGGCCATGTTGGGCTGCTGGACGGAAACGATCCCGGACATTGTCGATGCGGTGGGTAAGCTAGAGCTTATTTGAGTGTCTGAAAGGTTTGAAAGATGCTTTGACGCTGGGTTGGAGGTAGAACTAGGGGTTTCGAAGCGAAGTACTGAATACCAGCGAGGAAAACAGTGGGCGAGGAAGAAGAGAAGAAAGAGAGAGGACAGAAGGAAGAAGAAAAGTGGGAAAAGTGGGAAATCAAAACAAAAGTCCAGGCACTGAGGGGTCATGGGTGAATTTGCATGGTTGTCATAGAAATGACAACATTCGTTGCTAAAAGAGGAAACTCCATGAGTGACCACGGCGAGTGAGCACAATATTGGAGTGAATGCGCGAGATTGTCGCAACGCGGGTTGAGGTTGGAAGATGGATGGATGAATGAAGAAAGTCGGCGTTGAGCGAGCGAAGTGAATGAACGGTGGAGGATCCGGGTCTTGTCTGTTTCGGGACTAGCGTCCTGGAGCGGCCTCCCCATACTGATACTGATGGACCTGGATCCAGCACCGGTTGATACGACACAATTCATATAAATAAACAATAGAATCCAACTGATCATCTAGGTTACATTCATTCGTGCAGCGACATTCTGGCCGTCAGCCTGGTCATCCCCTTCATATCTCTATATACAAAAAGCCGGCTATGGTACAAAACTGCGCAGCTCAGCCTGCTGAACTAAAGAAAGATCAAGTAAGGAAAACAGGATAGTAAAAGGGGGAGTATCAGGATTGACTATCCACTACGGCACGAGACCGGCCATGTCAAAGATTAGAGGGGCAACCTCGATGACCACCCACCCGATACCTATAAAGCAATCAGCGATTGAACAATGACCGAAGATGAAAGAGAACAAAGACAAAGAGGGGGACATACCACTATAAACCACCAACTTGGTCACCACCTCGACATCATACCGCACCCGCGGGCGCTTGATCTGAGCAAACACCTCCTCCTCGTTTGGCTCCTCCGGCTCCAGAGGCGGAAACGGTTCCGTCAGGGGTGGAGGAGACGTGCCCACGCCGCCGCCGGGAGGTACGCGCGGACTGCCCGTGCCCATCATATTCTCGTATTCGTTTAATCTGGACGGGATCCGCGACATTCCCGCCGGCGACACGCGATCAATGTCGTTAGCCACCGGGGCCCGGTTGCCAGACAGACTCTCCCGTCGACGCTTCTCTCGGTAGGCCAGGGTTTCGTACGCGTCGGCTTCGGACTGAGGGCCAACCGAGATCGCCCGTCGTCGGGGATGGCGGATATTTGTGAGGATGGATGGGATTTCGGAAAAGTTCGGGAGGAGGTCGTGGTCTTTGAGCTGCGCGGGGACCCGGGTGTATTGCCTGGAGAGTCAGTCGGACAACCAAAGAAAGAAAGGAAGGAAGGAAGAAACAAAGAAACAAAGAAAGAAACGAAAAAAGAAAGAAGGAAGGAAAAGAAAGGGAAAGAAAAGACAAGGTAAAAAGTAATCAAACTTACGAAGCTTGAGTGAAGAACCGGCGAGGCAGAATCAGGCCCAACTTCTCCAACCCCCGGAAGACGGGAGGGAGGACCCGGAGCAAGAAGGGCTTGGTGAATCCCCGCCAGACGAAGAGCAGCAGCACGCCCAGCAGCAGCCGCAGGACACTCTTCATCAGCCCCAACTCCTCCAAGCGATCGATCTGCGCGGGCGGATACAGCCCGTCCCACTCTATGTTCAATTTCGCCACGTGCCAACAGCCCAACTGCACCCCGATCATCACCCCCGCAAAGGAAACACTGTCATCGAAACAGGGGCAATCGTCGGCGGGCTCCGGGTGAAGCCGGACGAGAGCCAGGATGACTAGCACCACGACGAACACCTGGGTCCCGTTGGCCGACATCGAAAACCCGTCGATCGCATACCCGTAGAAACTCTGCACGAACGCGAGCAAAGCTCCGATCGCACAGCCCACGATGACATCCGAGAATCCATGCATTCCGCAATACAGGCGACCCAAGACGATGGAGGAGACGTAAAGGTAGGTGACGCCCTGCAAGAATAGGTTCAGGCGGGTATCGAGGGTGGAATCAGACGAGCCCAGCATGGCCAGGGCGTACACGGCGACCGAGACGGCGTTGGTGGAGTGCGTCGAGGGAAAGCCATATTCGAGGGCGGCAGAGCCAGACATGCTGATGCGCTGCAACGGGGGGGAGAGCGGGCGCGGCAGACAGAGCAGATCCTTGATGAATCCACTGAAGAACACCCCAGACGCGAGGAGGCGAGTCATCCTGGGCAATCATTCCGTTAGCGGAGAGTGTCTAGGACACGGGCCGACGGACGTACGCTCGACCGAGATCGGGATAACCGCTCCAGAAGAACAGCGGCAGGAAGACCATGAAGAAAGTATGGGTGCCCAGATTGGCGGTAAAGGCGAAGTACGAATCCAGCGTCGGCGTGCGGACCTTCTCCTGGACCCACGCCAGGTAGGGGGTCTCATAGCGAACGAGCGGAAGGAGTTTCTGTCGTGGCCAGTACCGCCAGGCGGGGAGTTGGTTGCGGTCTGGGACGCCCGGTCAGTTAGCCAGCGCGCCCATCGTGGCCTCGTTCTCGCCTCATTGCCACAGCAGTGCTTCTTACAGTGATTCAGGCTTCGAAGCCCAGCATCAGGACGGCCATTTGCCCCTTTGGACATGCTGGAATCGGGGATCAGGAACGCGGCGCAATGACGGGTTTCTCCATAGGACAGCGGGATTGGACGGGGCACTGGGAGATGACCAGAAGCCTCAATCAGGAATTAGAGAGGAGGAGGGAGACGTCCAATCCACAAGTTGGACACGGAAGAACCAAAGTAATCCTAGATGACGGCGCGATGAGAAACCCGAGGACGAGGATCAGGGGTGTACCAGAACGTCGACGGAGAAGGATGAAAAGAAAGTAAGAAAGTCGTTGTTCCGCGGCATTGAGGCTTAGTCATACTGAGTGATCGTGCTTATTGATTAGTATACAATTACCTTGGAAAACAAACGATAGATTCTAGAATATAGAATGATGTATGATAGTATATCAGAATCTTAATCTTTAATACAAGTCAATTGCTCTCTCAGATATTTCTGATCATGTTTCTCATGTTGAGGCAAAACGGAGATGTTAAGTCATGCGAGTGCATTACATTCAGTGCTTGTCGGCTACAATATATATCTGTATATCCCTGCCTCGGTAAGGCTTCACCTCTTGTACTCCGTAGTCAGTGATCAAGGACAGACCGGGCGAGCTGAATATCGCCTCAACATCCAATAATCCTACACACGATGGAGACTACACCCACTAGTCCTATGATCCATCCCCGTCCTGATGACCACGAGCCAAGCCTGGATCCCGACGTGGACAATGCCCCATCCGATCGACTGGAGCATTGCGGCACCACGACCAGATCGATCGGACTATTGGTTGTGAAGTGCTAGACACCAGCCCCAAGTGTCCCACCATGACTAAAAGAATGGTCAAGATTCAACCACAAGAGGGCAGATCCAATGGGCAACTCATCATCACAGCCACCTATAAATAAGTCTGGCGTCATGGTGGCCGGCGTTGCCATGGCAGCGCATCGGCCCGTAAACACGATCCGCCCGATGGAATCCCATGAAGAGGAGGAAAGACAGCGAGTCCACCACTCTCGCCTCCTCCATTGCCAAAGTCGATTCGGCGTCCTGATCGCCCGATCTCCTCTTCCCGTCTTCTTAGCCTTCCTCTTTCCTTCATCTCTCTTCTCACTCTCCTCTCTGACACCATCTCATTGTTTGGCCATCGCAGAAGCATCCCGCATTGCAGCACGTTCTTGCCACCACGTTCCGCAAGAAGTCGAAACAATCGATTATAGAACACAAAAAACAAAAGAAAATCAACCGCTGCAATAATTCGGTGGATCTGGAAGGATAAATCCCCATCCGGTACTCACCAACACTTATATCTCCGGAGTCTATTGCATACCACGTTCGCCGTTTGAACTGTCTTGCGGTCAGCCACCCTATGTCAGGAACCATGTATGACGACCAATATTATGCGGCCTCGCGTCGCCACTCTCTCGTCACTCCCCCACCCTCGATGACGCCGCGACACACTCGTGGTCGCAGCCAGAGTGTCCGAGTGAGCAATGGGACGGCTAGCACCAACACCAGCGTGTCCAGCGGCAAGATGTCTGAGAACACCAACATTACGCAGCCACCCGCCTATTCGAAGAAGTTTGTCGTGGTGGGTGACGGGGGCTGTGGCAAAACATGTCTGTTGATCAGTTATTCCCAAGGATACTTTCCAGAGGTAGGACCCCCCGGTTGTCAAGATTGTGAAGATGAGGAGAAAGTGCTGACGGTCTAGAAATACGTCCCGACCGTCTTCGAAAACTACATCACGCAGACCATCCACCGCCCGTCCGGGAAATCCGTCGAGTTAGCCCTCTGGGATACTGCTGGCCAGGAAGAGTACGACCGACTGCGCCCGCTCTCCTACCCCGAGACGGACCTCCTGTTTGTGTGTTTTGCGATCGATTGCCCAGCTTCTTTGGAGAATGTGATGGATAAGGTAAATATTCACCCTCTACCGCCAAAGTCAGAGATCTAACCCAGAGACAGTGGTACCCGGAAGTCCTCCATTTCTGCCCAACAACACCCATCATCCTCGTGGGGTTGAAGTGCGACCTGAGAGATAAGCGGACGTGCATCGAGCTCCTCAAGACCCAAGGCCTGACACCGGTGTCGCCAGAGCAGGGCCAGGCCGTCGCGCAGAGAATGAACGCCTCTTACATCGAGTGCAGCAGCAAGGAGATGCGGGGCGTGCACGGGGTCTTCGACATGGCCGTCGACACAGTCGTCTCCACGGAGGAGCAAGGCTGGGAAGACCACCGGCAGAGCTTCAGCGCCCACGGCACAACGACAGGTGGACGCAAGATGGGCGGCGGCCGATCGAAGAAGGTCAAGAAGCGCACCTGCAAGATCCTGTGATGTGGACCTTTTCTTTTTATGATGTTTTCGATATGACATTGCCGACTCAACAGCCTGGATGCTTTGACGGTATACTATTCCACGATCCAGCGTGAACGTGGGGATGACTTAAGTGACCATTCACGTTTCCTTTCTGTTTCTGCTTTTGGGACGGCGGCTTTTTCTCTTCTTCTTGATTTATTCCCTCAATTGCTTGTTCTTGTTATACCTTCCCACGACTGTCTCCATACACGACCCTTTCCTAATCCGTTCCTGTTTCTGCTTGGTTTTGGCGATCCACCCGTCCATGCGCAAGCCGATGATGTATGTCTGTTACGAACCAGCAAGCCTTTGCATGCATGGGATGGGTGTTTCCTGGCGCAATGATCCCATGTAATGAGTACAAAATGCCATCATGTTATTTGAGTTCTGCCTGTAGGCAACAAGGGTATCTATCTGATATATGAACGTGTAAACATAATAAAAAGAGAGCACAACATCCTCACGAACTGTGCCTCTCTCCTTCCGACTCATCGTGCCGGCCTTCCTCCTCACGAGACGCCGCAGAGTCCTTCCCTTCTTGCTCCGGTCGCCCCATGAAGTTCTCAAACTGGGACCAGAGAGCCTCGACCGAGCCGAACTCATTCCCGACCTGCATTTGTTAGCCTCCATCATCCATCATTCATCCTCTACCCGCGTTGAACTGATATAGAGACAATCAAGATAGCCAGGCCTTACCGAGATAATACTCTCCAGATTACGATTCAACCGGTTGATATTTTGGAGAACTTGCTCCATGCCCTGGTAGCGTGAGCTTTATTATCCATTTTTGTTATCGGGGGTGATATAGGAAAGACATATATGGAATGAAGATGAAAGAAGAGGAAGACATACCACGGCGATCTCGCGGACGAGGTCCTCGCGCTGCTGTTCGAAGACAGTGGGTGTGGATGATCGGGACATGGTGGGTGGTAATGTTCTTAAATAACAAAATTCTACGAACAGCGCTCACCTGCCTCACTCGGACGTTGCCGCTTTTAACGGGGTGAGCAGGGTGAGTCAGGTGATCAAACCACCCGGCCAAGGTGATTCGCTCACCCTCATCCTTTATACTCACCCTACGCTCACCCATCCCTACTCGATTCTGACGCCGTCTCTTTTTAGTATCCTACGCCAGTGGATAAATGATGCATTGGCGAGATGCAAAAGGTCACTGTGGCAGTGAGAATTTGGCCCACTGCTGCCTACGGTGCTTGATTGTTAAGAAGACCCTCTCTCCCTGTCCTCTCAATGTACCCTGTGAAATTCTCATCTCCTTCTTCTTCACTTACCCCTTATTCTGTGTCTCATACAATCTCTGCAATCATAAAAAACACATGGCACGTTTTATGGGTGCTGTTATTAAGCCAGTTCAAAGAAATTCGACGTGACTATTACTGCACAAGTTTTGACAATGGCCAAAGGAAGAGGGAAACAGAAGATAGACAGACAGGCTGTTGCCAAAGCAAATGGATATATTCGTGGGGCACATCGGGAAAAGGATCAAGTCAGGAACAAGAATCATTATTCGGACGATTCCATTGCTCTTCAGGAGAGGGTCTTAAATGATTCCAGGGTGTAAGCTTGTTAATCCATTCTATGGATTTGATTTCTATTCACTAACGTGTTAAATCTCTAAGATGGGTATCAGAAGATGAGAAAATAGGCGAAGAAGACTGCTTGCAGGAGGGACAGCCCACCCCAGACCTTGCTACAGTGAAAGACTTCTTACGATACTACATCTACTCCACCAATGGGATGCTGACCGTCCGGCCGACAATGTCATCGGTGAAGAATTTCGCTGAGAGGTTTTTTGCCGGATTCACACGTGTTACTAAGTCATCTTTTGACCGAAAAGACACTCACTGATGATGTCTACAAAGTATGTGACACTCGCCTCCAGGATAGGAAGAGAATGGGACTAATAAGGCAATCAGTGGATTTCGAAGTCGCTTGTGAAGGATGAAGTCATCGAGAATAAAAAGAGGCCGAAGCATATGTTCACGCATTGTGATCTGACAAACATACTTGTCTCAGTCTGGACGGATGATGATCCTTTTTTCATCCATGAGCGCCACAGGGTTCAAATGACATTCGCCATCTTGCTATATTGCTATTCAGGTGCCCGAATTGGCACGTTTATTCCGGATACCTCCAAAGCTGAAGAGCGTGGTTTGCGATATGAGGTATCAAATATCTAACTCACCAAGTCTATACGGAACGGCACTTACAATGGTTTAGGATATCGAGCTCTACATTTATCGCAGGCCTGATGGAGAGAAAGAAATCTTTTTTCGCCTCAGTGAGAAATGGGTAAAGAATAACTATGACCCGAAGAATACTGTGTACGACTACCTTATATACTTGTGATAAGTTTTGGTAATACTGACCTGATTCTTCAGTTTCCGCGTGGCGATGAGAGAGCATGGCAAGCTCCGGTTTAATCCAGTCCCCTACTTGCTAGTTTTAGCTTTTGCGGACGGCGCTCTTTTTGACTTGGATTCTCCCGAAGAACTAGAACGTTGGGATCCCGATAACAATGAACCAACTCGACTTCTGTGGAAAACTCATATTGCGAGACAACCGGTTCTACGCATGGTGACAAGATTCGCTGGTGCATCTGAACGCGCTTTGACTCGTGAGACATTCTGCCGTCTATTTAGGAATATTGTTTGCAACGCGGGCTATTGCGAGATAATTACAATCCACAGCTTGCGGCGAGGCCTTGCCAATAGAATTGATAGTAAGTCACGATTTCCTTGCCCAATATCCTGGAAAAAAGACTAATTCCTTGTAGAAGTTGGGACCGAGGCAGAAAGAGGCCAGCTTCTAACCCAACAGGATCCAAATGTGTACGGTCGCAGTTATATCGACAGTACTTCGGCTTTAAGCAGCATGGATGCTTTTCTCGGAGAGAAGATGCGCCTGGACCATAATGAGTATCTTCGGGGAGTTGGTAAATATCGTGAGAAGGGTTATCCTCGATGTTTGCCAGCAGAGAGAGAGCACGCTGTTCAGAACAATCCGATGCTACAGCAGCTCCAATATGAGCTTAAAAACCTGGCCACAGATGAAGGCTCTGATCCATTCGAGATTACCATCACGAAGAAGCGAGAGCAGGCTCTCAGGAATCGACTATGCACTGAAGCTCTGAAAGCTATCGAGAAGAATGGATTCAAAGCCGCCTAGAAGGAAGAATTATTTTGCGAGGAAAGTCAGTCCCGAGCGGAGTGGTACCTAACGATATAGCCGCTTGTCTCTTCAAAGTTATGCCGGAGCGCCAGCGCCTTGCAGAGATGATCCCGTCAGATAAGGTTTTATCTCATCATGAAATGCTCTCTGCAGTCCATGACCTTCTCTCGCTGTGTGTTCGAGACCAGGATGTCTTTTACCGGCCGCGCGAAACGCCAACCGACGGCAAATGTCCGATTAGCAACTGCCGTTTCAAATTAGAGAAGTAAGAAGGCCCTTTGTATGACTTGGATGTACGGGCTGCGCTAATCCATCTTAAGGCTCTCTCGGCCTCGGCGGAGTAATCATATCCAGGATTGCCGACGAAAGGAGCTCTGTCATGCCCTCAGTCGGAAGGAATGCGAACTACAATATTGCTACGAATGTTTCGAGTTCTATTCCCTTGATGAGTGGACAGACCATTGCGACATTCACTTGGCAAATATATCTACCAGGCGGTGCGAAATCGTCACATATTGCCATACGCTGATCCGGCCTGGCCATTGCCCTTTTTGCTTGGGAGACCAATCCCGAGAGTCTCCTAAGCGTATGAGGTATTGGAAGCGAAGCAATGAGCTAAGAACTCACATTGAAGAGCATCTCAAATCTCTACAGGAGTACTCCTGTATTCATCCGATGTGCCAAGAGCAATTCCAAGATGAAATGGGACTTCGCTATCACCTAGCAGATATACATGGCCTGCAGAAGGCTATCTGGGATAGAAGCAAATCGCCGAGAACTGTTTTCGGAGAAAGCCCAGAAAGCCAACTTGACAAACACTTTAAAAGGAATGGGACAAAGCGGAAATTCAATCAGACCGATGATGAGCATTGCAAACCCAAGCGACTATCAAAGAAGGCGAGAGAATCAAATGCAAGCCCCAACAAGACCGGTCAGCGGCAAGATCTACGTGTTGTTCAATGGAAGCCTCCAAACCCGGCCACTTGCTTTAGCGATTCCAAGGGGGACAATGTTCATATAATACAAGACTTGGATTTTGCTGACACAGAACACGCGTCCAAGTATCTCAGGTCTAGTCCCGCCGACGATGTTCACACACACACACTCCGCCGAGGCTCACTTTCTGTGAGTCACCCAGTACTGAAGTGTCGATGGATGGTTTGATAGACCCCCAACTGTTGGAATTTGACGCATCTCAGAAAGGATCGGACTGATATACAAATCATTTTCATGAGGATACGCAAATGGGAGCGTCGTGCATCTAGCTCATTCTCTGTTGAAAGATCGAAGTGGTTGGAATCAGAAGAGAGATTTAGGGTTCGTGTATTCAGTGTCCTTTTTAGCAGCGCTTGGTATCGCTATCCCTTTAGCATGACCAGGCTCAGTCTAGCTGGTGCAGAAAAATAGATATGGTTATTATTCATTCAGTATCATCTAGTTCAACTTTCCGAAGTGGAGGTATCCGAGTTGTGCTTTTAACGAATATCCTGGCGATATAACTGACATCACAGAGCGTGGACAAGGTTCCTCAACAGAGGTGCACCGCTAATCATAAAAACAATAATAGTAGTAGCAAATTAGACTACAGTCAGGTTACTGTCAAGGTGTTGTGCCAGAAAGAGACGGTACCGACAGTAAGAAGGTTAGGGACTATAGTCCAGGTTGTCAGAGCCTCCATAGCAGGCTGCCTCAGGAAGCTATCCATTCGTCGTTCGCTATTCACTGTTTGCCCACAGCGCAGAGATTTCCTCTGCGTATGGGCTCAGAATCCGTTTCCTTTCCTTTCCTTTCCTCTCTATGCTTGATGTTTTCGTTAGATTGCTGTTATGAGTGAACAGCTTCTCCATCATTGTGGTAGATGGCCGGAGCCGAAGTCTGTTCTCATCATGGACGGTTGCATTCTGGGGCACGCCAGAATGTTTAATATGACTATATCCGTGACAAGGCAAGTTCATTCGAGGCTGGACCTGGCTAGACCTTGACAATCAGCTCCGTCTGCTGACTGGGCTCCTCGGCTGCACACAAAAAGCCAATCCCCTCCACGACATCCGCCAACCAGCGCTGGCTCACATCCATGTGCAGAAACCTCCAGAACCCATGCGGTTGCCCTGAATAGAGGTGGATCTTGCTCCGTGTCCCGGAATCCTTCTCCAACAGTCTTTGCCACAGAAACGCTTCGTCACGCAAAGGGTCCCGTCCGCAGATCTGGAAATATGCACGGCCCGGCAGCCCCGAGTGATCCTTGTTCAAGAGGAACGAAATACGGGGATCCGCTGGGTCGCATCCGTATATTTCTTGGATATCGGTCAGTGATTTACGGGTTAGTAATGGGTTCTCGGCATTCTGCTCTAAACTGAGCAGATACTTCTCAGTCCACTCTGGCGGCGTGAGAGGGTACGCCTGTGGCATGAGACAGACAGGAATGGAGATGAAAAGGCCTGTAATGGGTGGTGAGAGCCCTGCATCGCGCGCAGTATATGCGATTACCCCGGCGAAGTTGGCTCCTGATGAAATCCCCCCGACGAGGAAGCCGGCCGTTGCAGGAGACGCATCAAGATAGGTCTCTGCATTTGCAGCGGCCTGTTTCATCTCAGTTAGCTCACCCCGCTGGAAGTTTATAAAGTGAAACGTACCCATTCTGTGGCATCATAGCTGTCATTCACGCCATGCGGAAACGGCCACTTGGGAGCAAGCCGGTACCCCACGTTCAGGACAGCGATGTTCAACTTGATGGCGAGGACGCGGCAGTTCAGGTCGCCACTGTCCAGGTCTCCAAACAGGAATCCCCCTGCATGGAGGTAGATCAGGAGAGGGCGCCCACGGGTTGCTGGCCGGTCCGTTGTGGCGACATAGCTCCGCACGGGAATTTCATAGCCATCCCGAGCGGGGATCGTGAAGTTCGTCACCTTGACTGACTGATCGGTGACATCAATATCATCCGGAATTTGTCGTGGTGGGTTATTTGCTTCGATATCAATGAAGATGCGCTTCCGCTCGACTATACCGACGCGGTCGAGATTGGTGAGTTGGGGATTGGACGCAACAAACTATCCATTATAAGCTATGAAGTATATTCCGACTCAGGGGAACAACCTGGGTCCATTGAGGGCTTATTTCAGAGTATTTCGCGAATTCAGCCATGCTCTACAGGCGATATTCTGTGTAATAACCAGCAAGTGTATAACGAACTGCGTACAGACTGTTTATATATCACCACCAGTGTCAGACCGGGATATCTATTTCCATATCTGGTATTACATCCGCATAGCAGTTCAACAGAGAATGCTCTATACCCTCCGCGCAACAAACCGCTGCTGCTTAATCTGATCACCTCCGTTCCATTGAACCCCGTTACTCCAGGACTCTGATCCATACGGGATCAGCTCCGAAGACACTTCCCATTTCCCGTGAGGATCCGTCTCCCAGATCTCCCGGATTGTCTCCTCGCTGTGATGGTACAGAGACCACCCGCACGCATTCTCCTTGAGAGTGCCTCCCTTGCCAGTCGTCGCCAGATGGCGCCCAAAGACAAGCGAGTTGTTCCCACGCAGCAGCCGGCCCAGCTGTAAAACTATTGCTCTTTGCTGCTCAAAGCTGAACAGATGTAAGAATGAACCCAGGAAGATGATATCGACTTTGCCGCGCCACTCCTGTAGAAAATCTTCGGCGAATACATCTCCGGTTTGGAAATGGGCCTTGAGTCGGTTCTTGTCTTTGAACAGCTGGTGGCCTAGGTCTAGGAATCGCGACTCGGTGTCCACTCCGATCAGGTTCTCCCCTGGTGCGCCGTCATGCACGAGCTTGCGGATATCCTGTCCAAAGCAGCAGCCCAGATCCAGAAATGTCTCGCCGGATTTAATCCGCCTCAGGACTTCGGGATATACTGGCTGCAGGTATGCTGGGAAATCAAGAAAGCGGAACAAACCGATGCAGGGGAACGGCAAGCTGAGCACATCAGACAGGAATCGTTCAATGATAAGCGGGAAACTCACATATCCCAAGCCTGGTCTCTCACCCGGTGGATATGATCCGTGATCTGATCATCGGGAATGCCAGAGTAATCGCGGAATATCTCTCTGGCGATATCGGGGACTCGAGTCAGGGCTGTTTGATACCAGGCGACGTCGCGGCTTGCTTTGGACACGTTGTCATTTTTCCACTCCTCCGCGGGTTGGTTATGAGTTGCGACAGCTGCAGTAGCCATGTTGATATCTTATTCTAGCAGATTCAGTTGAATTCTGGAAGGCGTCGCATTCGGGCTGGCCATGGCGCCTTTTGAGTCTGTCCAAGTGCAACCCCGTCCGGCCCGCGGAGGGATTCTTACTATATTCGACTCCGAGAAACCGTATCTTAACGAAAGTATATGGCATTCGATGACGCTAAATAGGCAATAATATCCCGACTTCGGAGTGCGTTCTCGGGGCCTCTTCAGATATAGGGCAGAGCACTCCAACCCAGCAACCACATACACCGAGCAACCACCATACACCATCCCACTCCCACCATACACCATCCCACTCCCATCATACACCATCCCACTCCCACCATACACCATCCCACTCCCACCATGTCACAAACCGAAAACACGCCAGCCCAAGAACTCGGCTTCTCCTTCAAGCAAGGTGTCAACTGGTCCGAATACCTGGACTACCGCCCCGTGTACCCACCCTCATTCTTCGAGCGAATCTACAGCTACCACGCCGCAAAGCCCTCCTCATCCTGGTCCGTGGCGCACGATATCGGCGCCGGCTGCGGCGTCGCCTCCTCGAGCCTCGCAGCCCGCTTCCCCAACGTGATCGTCTCAGATCCAAACGACGGCTATGTCAGTCTCGCACGCAGACTACTCGTCGAACAATCCGCCGCGCCCGTAGGGACAACCTTCCAATTCCTCCAGGAAGGAGGCGAGAAGAGCACCGTGCCCTCTGCGAGCGTTGACGTGATAACGGCCTGCGAGTGTATCCAATGGATGGACACGGCGGTAGCGATCGCCGAGATGGGGAGGGAGTTGAAGGCCGGTGGGACCCTGGTTCTTACGCATTATACCGTTCCCCGAATTGTCGGGAATGAGCGGGCTCAGCGGGCGTGGAAGAGCATCTGGGGGGTGTATTCGAAGCGCGCGGACGGGCCTTTGCTAGACCATGCGGTTCCCATTATCAATGCCGCGCTGGAGTCGTTGGAGTTTCTGCCGAGTCAGTGGGAGGATGTGAAGAGGGTGCATATCAATGCGCAGGGAAGCTTTGATAGCTATCGGATAGACGAGCGGCTTGCGGAGAGTCGGTCCGCGGCTTGGGAGGAGCAGGTGTGGATTGAGGGCGACGAGGACTGGGCGGATGAGCAGGGGATTCAGTGGCTCAAGGGGTATCTTGCGACATGGGTGCCGGTTGTCCCTGAGTCGGACATTCAGGATCTCTGGGACGAGCTGGAGGCCGCATTAGGGGGACAGAAGGCGCGGATTGAGTCGCCGTTGACGATGGTGTTTGCAACGAAGAGGTCGTCTTAGCTGCTGTAGAGACCCTGCATAGAAGTCACGAATCAGATAACTACAATAGGAATAAAACCGTATCAGGCAGTTAAATTCCGTGAACTGTGTTGTCTGGAGATCATTTCCATAGCTCGCGGAGCTCAAAATAGCGTAACCATTCTGCTCCATCGAGATCGAGCCAATCGCGACAGGCCAAAAACAAGCTTGAATTCTGGACCAGTCGGAGAGCACTGGAGAGCACTGGGAAAGCAGTCCAGGAACCGCCAGCCCTGTCGGACGGGGTCTCGACGAAAGGGGAAGGAAATTTCCGGAGGCCTCGTCCCAAAAAGGGAAATCGATATCCCGAACTCACACCAGCCATGCGAGCAGCTCTTCGGTGGCATTCACTTTGCAAACAAAGAGAATGTTCATTAGAAATCAATTCTGCTGCTCTTTGAACCCCTGACAAATTCTGACAAATGCTGGAGAGGCCGCCACGTCGATCATACCAGTGTACGCTATAAAGATATAGTTCTACGCTATAAAATATAGTTCCGACCGAGCTCTAGTATCTAGGATTCTCTCTTGCTTCAAGTCGCAACCCTAATTTCTCTCAATGTCTGCTACCCCCGACGAGAAAGCGCCCAACGGGGCCATCGAGAGCTCCGGCTCATCCACCGAGTACACCACCCCCGACAATGAGAAGCAAGCCCAAGACGTCCCCGCAGAGCCCGAGGCCCCTCCGCGTGATATCGACGGCTGGAAATGGTGGTTGGCTATTTTCTCCATCTGGTCGTCCATCTTCTTCTACGCCCTGGATAACACCGTTGTCGCCGACATCCAGCCTGTCATCATTGAGGACCTGGGCGAGCTCGAGAAGTTGACCTGGCTCAGTGTTGCCTTCCTGCTCGGTGCTACCGCTACAAACCTGATCTGGGGAAAGCTGTATGGTCAGTTCAATGCAAAATGGACGTACATCCTGAACATCGTGGTCTTCGAGGTCGGCTCTGCCATCTGCGGTGCTGCCCCCAGCATGAACGTGATGATTGTCGGCCGCGCCCTGTGCGGAGTGGCTGGTGCAGGACTGTACGTGGGTGTCATGACTCTCATTGCCATGACTACGACCCTTCCTGAGCGTCCGTTGTATATCGGCGGAACCGGATTGACATGGGGTATTGGCATTGTGCTTGGTCCTGTTGTTGGAGGAGGATTCAGCGTGTCGTCTGTTGGCTGGCGCTGGTCGTTCTACATCAACCTGCTTATTGGCGCCGTCTGTGCCCCTGCATATCTCTTCCTGCTCCCCAGCAAGGATCCTCGTCCGGGAGTTTCATGGAAAGAGCGCTCTAAGGAGGTTGACATTATTGGTTCTATCCTGCAGATGGCAGCCCTCACGACCTTCATCCTGGCCATCTCCTGGGGCGGCGTCACTTACCCCTGGAATTCTGGCCAGGTTATCGGTCTCTTCGTGGCTTCTGGAGTGCTGTTCATTATCCTCGGATTGCAGCAGGTCTTCTTGGTCTTCACCACCTTGTCCCGCCGTATTATCCCGGTCGAGTTCTTTGGATCTCGCACGGTGCTGATCTTGTTCGCCTCGACTGCCGCCGCCGGTGCCTCTGCGTTTGTCCCGATTTATATGATTCCCATCTACTTCCAGTTCACCCGTGGCGACGCAGCTCTCGACGCAGGAGTCCGACTCCTCCCGTTCATCGTTCTCATGGTCGTTACTATCCTGGCCAACGGCGCCTTCCTCTCCAAATTCGGCTACTATATGCCCTGGTACACAGCCGGGGGCCTGCTCGCTCTAGCCGGCGGAGCCCTAATGTACACAGTCGACCTGTACACCTCCACCAGCCGCATCTACGGATACACCGTCATCCTCGGTCTCGGTGTCGGCCTGTGGATCCAAGCCTCGTTCGCCGTTGCGCAAGCCGTCGTCAAACCCGAACTGGTCCCCGCCGCGGTGGGATTCATCACCCTCGCCCAGTTCGCCGGAATCACCATCGTCATGGCCATCGCCAACGCCGTCTTCCTCAACACCTGTCTGACCGAGATCCCCAAGATCCTGCCCGGTGTCCCGCGCTCCCAGATCGAGGCTGCTATCCAGGGCGCCTCTGACCTGTTGGATACATTGAGCGACGAGACCCGGACCCAAGTCCTCGAGGCTATTACGTCTGGTATCAGCAAGGCCTATGTTCTCGTCATTGCTGCTGGTGCTCTGGTTGCTGTTCTGAGTGTGCTCATGAAGCGCGAGCGTCTGTTTGGTGTTTCTGGTGCTGTTGGTGGTGCTTAGTGGTTTACTGAAAAGTTGGACTTGGATACCGGGTCTTCCTCCTATCTCTCTAGAATAGTATGTCTTGTAATAAAATTATACACCCATTCGCTTCTCCAATGTAACATTGCATTTAAAACGTACTTCGTAGTTCAAAGCGCGTTGATTATCTCTAGTGTACGATGTAATATATAATACGACTGACCTCTTCAACGAGCCGATCGCTCGTCTCTACGTCTCCTCCTTTGCACCTCTTCAACGAGCCGATCGCTCGTCTCTACGTCTCCTCCTTTGCACCTCTTCAACAAGCCGATCACTTGTCTCTATGTCTCCTCCTTTGCACCTCTTCAACGAGCCGATCGCTTGTCTCTACGTCTCCTCCTTTACACCTCTTTAACGAGCCAATCACTC